ACATTAGTTTTAAATGTGTTTCTCAATATGCATAACTGTAATGTACTAACTACTACTGCAGATAGTAACATGCAATCAGTACTATAATTTTGTGGTCTGTCAAGATATATGACCAAAATATTGAGTCATCATTATTTCATTAAATATTTATAATTATTGAACTGTAGCTTGTTGGAACCATCCTAATCATTTGCTCTATTAGAAAGCACATGTGCTTACTGTAAAACTAAAGGACAAGTAAGGAAGATGTGCTTCTAATATAGTAACTAAAGTATTACAGTTGTACTTCATGCCTCCAATACCCTTCAGCACATGGGAGTTCTTTCTGAGCTTTCTTTGATTGAAATAGTTTGGGTACTAGTATATGCATTTTAAGTTATAGCGCCCTCATTGTTTAAAAAGCTGGAAGCTAATTTATCAGCAATCGGCCAATTTTCTGGAAATTGTTCACAATTTTTTTTTTTTGAAAACTGTTTTTTAGGGCTCTCATGGTCACAATTCAAACAGTTGTTATTGAGATGTTGGATTTATTCCTCTTTGTATCCCCTCCTCACCCTATATCCCCTAATTTAGTGTTAATTTTGAGATATTCAAAAATTCTGATCATTTTGATTTAATTTTTTTAAAAAAAAAACTATGTTCATTGAGGGCTCGGCGCATATTTATAAATATCTACTTTTGGGAGGATTTTCCGCTTAGTTAGGGGGTCTTAGTTCTTAAAGCATTGTTTTGCTGTTATGTATGTTTACAAGTAATTTGTTTCTCTATTCTGCTATCATGTATCGGTTTCAATCAATTTGTCTTCAATTATTGCTTCACAAAACTTGTTGTTAATGATTTGCAGACTTTTATATGAATTACATGTACATTGCCAGACATGAGCAACAATACATAAAAACAAAAGATGTGTATTATTACTGCTTATTGTCATAGAGGGCAGTATGATTTACTAGTACACTACCAGTACAGTGTATATCTACAGAATTATATTAGACATGTATAATATCACAAAACTACTATTAATTACTGGGTTAGCATGACCTCCAGAATAATGGTAAAGTGCAACTAGTATTGACCTCTGACCTAGATAATGCAAAAATCTCAACCCTTCTAGCATTATCTGCTGAAGATTTCATTCATGTCGCTTTCATTTGAGTTAACATTTTAAAATCTTAAATGCCTCACTCTTGATTTATACTTTCAGGAAAGTTAAAAATATAATTTATAACAAAAGTCAATTGTGTGTTTTGCTTTTCCCTCTATATTTACAGTGTTAAGACATTTGGTTTAACCATTTAAACGCCATCATTTTTCCTGCTACAATTTCAGTGCCACATTTTGCAAATTTGTTTTTCTAGAATTCTTGGTTTAGTTTTGGACAAAATGGACATGCATGTAATTGGTTACAATGATCATAATTTTTGAAATAATATGAAAATATTTTGTAGGTTAAATTTTGTTCAAATGGTTACTGTAGCAACAGGGGGAAAAGTGTATTCGCCTAAATCCAAGATTTCATGAAATAATCTGAAAAATATTTCGTAGGTTAAATTTTGTCCAAAGGGTTATGGTAGTGTATTCGCCTACAGATAATGCTCAGTAACCTCTTGAATGTTGAAATTATAGATAAATTTTTAACATGATTTTTCCCTGTTGCTACCTTAAGGCAAATGCCAAGCCCTCCATGTTTGTTTACAACTTGTGTCTTTTCTTATTCCAGGGATAACTTAGCAATTGTTAAAAAGTTAGGCGATAAAGCGGCACAGGGAAGAGCATGTGGTAACCTAGGCAACACACATTATTTACTTGGTAATTTCAGCAAGGCGATCATGTATCATGAAGAGGTGAGAGACATCAGAGTTCACTGTTCTTAAAATATCACAGCTTCTTTTATTCATTTATTTTCTTGCTGCAAAATTATTCTGCCAAAATATTTATTGCAAAATATTTAACGATTCTCCAAATAAAATTACAGTACTGTAAAATCTGTATTAGAAGCCGCATCCCTAAAAGAAGTTGCACCCATTTTTTTTTGAATATTGAGAACCAAAAATTCACCATTTCTCATATGTGTAGATGCTCTGTTGCACTGTACCATTTTAATAGAAGCTGCGGTTTCTAATACAGATTTTACAGTACTGTGAATTAATTTATTGTTTGCCAGATTTAATTTTAGCTGAAACTGTCAATTATTTGTACTGAATTGTCTTAAATTGTATACAACTCATTTGAGATAAAATTCTTTGCAAAATTGGTACCAACTTTACACATGCAAAGTGGTTCCTGCTTTGTGATTTGGTTCAAAACGGTTGACAGTCATTTCTTTAAACATTCCTTGGACATACCAGTACTTTGACAGATTTTGTTTAGAACAGCATTTTAACATGTCATGTCATCTCGAGTTTGTCTAGTGTCATTAAAATATACTCTTGTCTGGAGTCATAATTTAGGTTTGCAATTTGATTCAAAGTCTGCCAAATTTTCTCCATGTTGCTTTTACCTGTACGCATCTTTTGATCTACATAGCTTGACAAATTCTTTTAAGTTTATCACAAAGAAAAGACATGTTTGAATGTATTTTCATTCTTTCTAAAATACAAAATGATGTAAATGATCAGCCAAATGCTAAGAGTTCCCCCCCTCACCCATAATAATTATTCTAATTCTAAACCCCCACCCCCTTTTGTAATTGTATATTTCTTAGACTTGTATACCATTATAGTCATCGTCGTCCGTTTCAATGTTTTACTTTTTCGACTTCTTCTTGATAACTACGAGCCTGAATGCTTTGTTACTTGGTGTATATGTACCTTGGGTAGACCTCTCTCAGATTTGTTCATTTCATGATCATATCTTCAATTCTCTAATTTTGATGAATATTTTTGTCATTTTTGGTAAAAGTGATATTTTCGACTTCTTGTTGAAAACCGCAAGTCAATTGCTTTTATATTACATATATAGGTATTACATGTGGACCTCTCTCAGATTTGTTCATTTTGTAATGATATCTTTAATTCTTTAATTTTGGTGAATATTTTTGTCATTTTTGGTAAAAAGTGATATTTTCGACTTCTTGTTAAAAATCGCAAGTCCAATTGCTTTGATATTACATATATAGGTACTACATGTGGACCTCTCTCAGATTTGTTCATTTTGTGATGATATCTTTAATTCTTTAATTTTTGTGAATATTTTTGTCATTTTTGGTAAAAAGTGATATTTTCGACTTCTTGTTAAAAACAGCAAGTCCAATTGCTTTTATATTACATATATAGGTACTACATGTGGACCTCTCTCAGATTTGTTCATTTTGTAATGATATCTTTAATTCTCGAATTTTGGTGAATATTTTTGTCGTTTTGGGTAAAAAGTAATATTTTCGACTTCTTGTTAAAAACCGCAAGTTCAATTGCTTTGATATTACATATATAGGTACTACTGGTACATGTGGACCTCTCTCAGATTTGTTCATTTTGTGATGATATCTTCAATTATTTAATTTTGATGATTATTTTTGTCATTTTTGGTGAAAAGTGATATTTTTGACTTTTTGTTAAAAACAGCAAGTCCGATTGCTTTTATATTACATATATAGGTACTACATGTGGACCTCTCTCAGATTTGTTCATTTTGTAATGATATCTTTAATTCTCGAATTTTGGTGAATATTTTTGTCGTTTTGGGTAAAAAGTAATATTTTCGACTTCTTGTTAAAAACCGCAAGTTCAATTGCTTTGATATTACATATATAGGTACTACTGGTACATGTGGACCTCTCTCAGATTTGTTCATTTTGTGATGATATCTTCAATTATTTAATTTTGATGATTATTTTTATCATTTTTGGTGAAAAGTGATATTTTTGACTTCTTGTTGAAAACCGCAAGTCTGATTGCTTTTATATTACATATATACGTACGTATGGACTTCTTTCAGATTTGTCCCGTTGCTTTTTATATATATATTGTTCATTTTCTAATGATATCTTCAGTTCTTTAATTGCCATGTGCATTGCTAACAGCGGAGCTATCTCAGCCGACAGGCTGCTTGTTTCTGGTTTGCATACAACTCCCTTTAGTTTCGTAAACGACGAATAGTGTAAATATCTGCTCTATCAGAAACAAGAAGGAAGGCCAATTCCACTGGCTGAGATTCATTCACTAACGAATGCGACTTTGTGGAACCTTGGTTAAGGTCCGCTGGTGCTTGTGTTCGATCAACCAGGATAGCGAATTGAAATTGCCATTTGATAGGAAGATGGCCACACAGCCCTCTCATGTAGTCCCAAACATGAATATGATTTCTGTGGCAAAAATGTACTCAAAAATGTGTCAGCACTAGCACTTGCAATTGCACATACAAAAAATTCAACAGTGACTTTCAATGTCCGGAACTGTCGCCTGGCACAAAAATTTATTTAAAAAAAAAAAAGGAAATAGTCATCAGAATTTGACTGGACTGGTTGGAGAATACAAATGCAGTTGATGATATACCTGTCCCTAGCATAATAAATCACAACATGATTTAATGATAGCGATGATTTGACTCATCAACATTTGATAAGTCTTCAAAATACTAAAAGCAATTTTCTAGACATTAGCCACATGGGGCTATCGAATTCTGTCAGTTACTAAAAACTTGATATCTTTATACACCTGGCACCAGGGATAGACAATGTGTTCATTTACCTGTCTCTGCTAAAATCTGCGTGTCTCGACAGGCCTCAATTTCGACCTCTGGTCATGAATTATGTGAATCTGACGAAAAAAACATTTCATGAGAGGAAGTCACATGAAGATTCCCTTAAATTATCTTAAAAAATTCTTGAAACAGGAATTTGCCAAGTTTTAGTCATATTTATGTCATTTTTTCTCTTCACAGCGACTTGCTATTGCAAAGGAATTTGGTGATAAATCTGCCGAGAGGAGAGCGTATAGTAACCTTGGTAATGCACATGTATTTTTAGGTGAATTCGAAATTGCAGCCGAGTACTATAAGTAAGTAACGAAAATAACAATGTTGTTGCTCAGACCATCATTGTGATTTATGTAATGTCGGAATCTCTCTGCTTTTGTCTGCGATTGTGTCATTGATAAATATTGCAATTTGGAATCAAATTCCTCAAATCAAATAACAAGATACATGGCTGTTCTCTGAATAAAAACTAACATAAAATGACAATAATTGCTACTTGTGTATTCATGAGCAGCAGGTGTTGCTGGGATACGCATTATCTTGTTTCTTTTCACGTTATTCAGTTCACTTCTGTTTAACAAAACGTACAGGAAGCGACGGTTCTTATCGTGGAGTCATTCAGCCAATTGCATAACCTCATTCATTGGAAAAAGGCTTGTATGAAACTTTCTCGCAATACATGTATACCATTTTGGTACTTGTTAAAATGTTTTCACCCTCCTCCCCAAGTTTATAATGGCCCAACCTTGATTTAACAGTACCGGTACTGACTTTGAACATTTTAAGGTAGAGATGCAGGTTCGTGGGCACTTGGAAGTGAATTTTTTTTTTTAAGAACTTTTGACCTTTTGTTTTGAAATTTTCACAAATGAGTGACAATGTGTTTATCTTCAAAACGTCGGGGCATTGTTTTTAGTTTAACAGACAACTAGCCTGGATGTTAATTTATGCATAAACTTGAAGTAGTGAAATTTGAGCTGCTGCCCTGCAAAATTGACAACTGGTAGACAGTTTTCAAGACGGCGCTTTCTTCATAGTAAACAGATGTACCCATAAACCAATTTTGACAGGAAACAGCATTGTTTAGAACTATTTTTTTTAAATCACTTTTGACCAAAAAAGCACATTTTTGTGCATATTTCAAACTACATTGTCTATAAACAAAAAATACTAACAAAATTTTAAAATTCATACAATAAACTTTCCGAAAATATATAGTTTTGTGGACAAGGGAGGTCATCTTGGTTTCCTAATTAACTAATTAAAATACCTGTCAGGTAAACTGCATCTCTATCTTACTAGTGTTGTAGAAAATGTATACAGTATGAAAGTTAGTTTACTAGCAGATATTTCAGAGATTTGAACTTTGATAGGTTATTGTGCCCTGGCATTGTACACTGGACTTCTGATGAGGATGATATAGTTTTAGTCGTATTTGCTAAGGGAGGAAACCAAAATCAAACTGGGCGGTTTCCTGTGGGACTCCGCTAATGCCCGAACCGGCACGACATGTCACGGAAATACCATAGTTTTCCCGAACCGGAGCTTCCCTGGAAGTAGTGATTCACACTTAATTTGAGGTGTCAATTGTTCACACGTCTCGTAAGTGCGGCATTTCCTCGCGAACACAGGCAGTTCCACGGCAAGACCGGCGGTTCCCCGTACGAAAGTATGAGGAATGCATTTTATAACAACAGAAATGTACATCAGAAATTCGCCAGACGACGCATTTTACGTAACATAGTTGCCAAGAGAAATTAGTTGTAATGTAGCAAATGCATTATTATGTAGCCATAATAAAACTTTATTTATAAAACAATGTCTATTCACAGTCACTCTGTGGTATATTCAAATCAACCAGAAAACGCCGACATATTTACGGAAATGAAATTTATGAATGCCCATTTACAGAAGCGAATAGGAACGATTATATTTACAAAGTGTGAAAACCCTGAATGCGACCACTGCAACATGTATCCCGTTCAAGCCGAGAGAGCGATGTCATTTTTAAAAGAAACTGGATTACCCTCTCCTTCACCGACAAATAATGAAGACGCCCAGTTTCTTAGTTTTATACAAGCGTCGGACCTCCCGCCGCTTGCCGTTTCAAACAGTTACATGCTGAAATTTATCAAACTCGGACTTGGCGTTTGCAGTAAATGCCCATCATACATGTGTATGTATTTACATGTACTGCTGACAAGATGTGACACACTCGTATATTTCACCCGCGAAGATTAAGTATTTTGGATCAGAGTCGAATTGCGAATATTTAGCGTACGCAGGTCGTTTATTTTATTTTTACTAGGGACCGGGTCGAATATTCACTTCATTATTTTGTCTGTAAATATTTCACGTTCATCTTCCGTGGGACGTACTTAATGTATTTTTTCACTAGGGGTTGGGTCGAGAATGTTTGTAAATATATCACGTTCATCTTCCGTGGGTCGTATTTAATGTATTTTTTGATTAGGGGTTGGGTCGACAATGTCTGTAAATATTTCACGTTTATCTTCTGTGGCACGTACTTAATGTATTTTTTCACTAGGGGTTGGGTCGAGAATGTTTGTAAATATTTCACGTTCATCTTCCATGGGTCGTATTTAAATATATTTTTTTGACTAGGGGTTGGGTCGAGAATGTCTGTAAATATTTCGCGTTCATGTCCCGTGAGTCGTATTTAAATGTATTTTTGCACTGGGGTTAATTTTAGTTGGAGAATGTTTGAAAATATTTCACATTAATTCGACTACAATTACGGCATTCACTCTATATCACCAATGAAATAATAACAACAATAGTCTGATATAAAATGAGACTGTATGTTATTTTATTTTTTCAATCGTGGAACTTAAACCATGGAGCTCCATGCTTAAACTCAGCACTTGGAAGTTCTGCAGAACATCGCTAATGCCAGTCTTGCCTAGACTAGAGGTCAGACATGGGTGAAATTGCGTGAATATAAATAAAATCTAGACGCACTAGACATTGAAAACATCACAATGAATGTAGCAACATGTCACTCGTTGATAAAAGTGGCATTCCTCTTCAGGGACTGAAGAGGAGTAAAAAGTCTGTCGTTGTCTGTCTTTAGAAAGGTGAGAACATTTGAACAATAAGATTATAATCATGAACAATGAGCGCCGGCTAACCCCGGAAATGTGCCAGTGTTGACGGGAACCCTCGGCCGGTCAAGGAGCTTCTGCTGACTTCCCGGATGTTGTCGGAGCACCGCGGGAAACCGCCCAGTTTGATTTCGATCACTTCCCTCATACAATATTGTCTTTCATCGCTGATTTCACACTGATTTATTCGCTTCATAAATAGAGAGAAATGAGAAGTCATGGATCTGTCTGAAAAATGTGAATAATAATCCCCATTGATGACTGACAAAGGGTTAGCGAAAGCCCATCTACACGAATAGCTACATCAGCCAATAGGGTGCTTGGTAATTAATTCCCTTCTTTTTTTTTTCTTTTTTTTAGGAAAACTCTGCAGATAGCCAGACAGCTGGGAGACTCTGCCATTGAGGCACAGGCTTGTTATAGTCTTGGCAACACCTTCACTTTACTTAGAGACTACGAGTCTGCAATTGAATACCATATGAAACATTTAAAAATTGCACAACTGTTAGGAGATCGGTGAGTCAATAATTTGCAGTTCATTGCGTGATTGATGCTTCAAACACCATAATTTCCTGCTATACAATGTATATGGCTTTGTTTCAATATACCAGAAATCTCTTGGTTGTGGTACTATTTTTAGTCTCTGTTCGGACACCGTCCGAAAACGAGGACTTATGGAATCACCTCTGTGCGTGCATCAGTGCGTCCAGACCTATATCTTAAACATGCCTGGACCAATTATATTCAAACTTCACATCATACATAATATTATATGCACATCAATTTGATGGGATTGAAGATGGCCGAATGGTGCCCATATTTGTGCTAAAAAAATTATCGAAAACAAGCATTTCTGGCATTCCGGAACCGGATATTAGTCATTTATGGATTGATTTTCTTCAAACTTGGTACATATACATTGGACATTATGGAGCCTTGATGTACGTCAATTTGCTTGTCAGATTTGAATTGGACGATTTGCGGCCATTTTGATTTCATGAATGCTGTTCCAGAGTAATATTTGACTGGTCATCTTCAAACTTTATACATCTTCTTGATCAATATTTTATGTTTATGTTCAAACTATATTGCTATAAAGAAAATTATACATCTTAAATTTGATAGCTAATGGCGACTGTGCTATGGTTTGTTTGCATTTTATTGAATCTTATCTTTTAAAGGAAGGCTACGATAGAGGGAAACAAATATTTTGATTTAAAAAATAATACTAATATTAAAAATATTTGGATTTAAAAAATAATATTGACTAATATCAAAATACTGCTGATCAAAACAATCATGACACGTTTTCCATAGACCTGTTTTGGGGCAACATTTTGTGAAAATGTATGGACAAAATGTTTTTCATCAAAAAAAAAAAGAGTAACAAATTTAGTTGTCTAATTTTTTTCAGAGTTGGAGAAGGGAGAGCCTGTTGGAGTCTGGGAAATGCCCATACTGCACTCGGTAGACGTGAGAAGGCATTACATTTCGCCACACAGCATCTTGATATTTCAAGAGAGGTACGTTAGTACATGTACTATATTTTCCCTATTAGAAGCTCACCTTTAATACAATAGCATTTAAGCAAAAAATAGTATTGTAAACATTGTTATAACCACAGACATAACTGTCATTTACTTATTATGAGTGGATGTGCTACTAATAGAACAAATACAGTATTATGACATTTTCACTGTTACATTGTATCTTGAGAACCACTTAACAGGTTAGTATAATATGCTTTGGGATAATCCACAACTTAACTGAATAGGTTTTGGTTACACAATTCGTGTATAAATAATCTGTATAAATGATTTGCTTAAATTAGCCAATTTTTAGCTGTTCAACTGTTGTCTCTGTTGACTTTTTAGCCCCGCTGTTGGCTTCATCAAGCAGAGCTCGTCATATCAGTTATTGTCAGTCGTTGTCCGTGTCAACTTTTTACTTTTTCGACTTCTTTTTGAAAACTACAAGCCTTATTGCTTTGATATTTGGTGTATATGTACCTTGGGCATACCTCTCTAGATTTCTTCATGTCGTGATGATATCTTCAATTTTCTAATTTTCATATAAAAAGTAATATTTTCGTCTTCTTGTTGAAAACAGCAAGTCCTATTGCTTAGATACTATACATATAGGGACCTCAGGTAGACCGGTATCAGATTTGTTCATTTTCTAATGATATCTTCAGTTCTTTAGTTGAAATGTGCATTGCTAATAGCAGAGCTATCTCAGCCGAAAGGCTGCTTGTTTTTAAGCTCCGCTATTATCTAATGGGTTGGCAACACCTGTTGTCTTCTTACGCCGTCTTTTTTCATCCAGTCGACTTCTTCTCCAAAACCGCCTGCTGGATTGCCTTGCTATTTATACCACACCTACCTGGGATGGTCCTCTGTCAGATTTGTTCATTTCATGACATCACATGTAAACCTCTATTTTTTAGGAATGCTTCTGTCATTTATGCTTAAAAATGATTTTTTTTTCACAACTGCTTGTCAGATTGCTTTAAAATTTAGCATGAATGTTGTTTGCATGGATTACACTCAGGCTTGTAATTTTCATGGCACCATATGCAAGTGTCTATTTGAGTGCTTTATTTTAAAAACAATTTGGACAACTGTATCAGCTGGAAGCTAGGCTTTCTCAGTACACATTGTCTTGGAAAATAAACTGGATGGGCCAATGTTTTCCAGAAATGTTCAGATCAAGGTCAATTCAAGGTTTATTAGTTTGCTGTTTTTATATGGGTGATACTGAACAGTGAGGGTGGGATGGACTAAAACACCTTCCCAAAATCTTCAACACAGGTCATGATCATCTCAAGGGCCCGGGTCAGGGTTATCTTGAGGTAACATGTTGATTGCATGTGTGTTTGAGGTCAGGAGGTCACCCCTCCCTCAGGATCACGTGTCACTTTTTGGAGATATCTGCTCTTGTAAATCACAGCGGAGCTCTTCCGACCGCAAGGCCGATTGTTCTTGAAAACAAATTTACAGAATTTTGGCAACCATTTGAGTGCAAGCAGTTCATCAAAATCTAGCATTTCTTCCATTCTAGAACTGGATATCGGTCAGATTCGATTCACAATGGTTCACTGGTGGCCATTTTGTTTAAATGAGTGCTAATCCAGAGCCATGTCTCTGACATGCCTTGACCAATCGTTTTCAAACTTCACACATTCATCAATTCATCATTTCGTGGTCCCTTTCAAGATAGTCAATAACGGCCGTATTAGTGGAACTTAATTTCAGTCATCAGAGTTTTGTTCAAATCTGCTATATACATTAACATTTTCTAGAGCATGATATTTTGAGTGAGTGTATGCTCATCTCTTCTATATATGTGTCATGGGTCATGCAATGAGCATGCACATTCACTACAGTTTTGATTCAAAACAGACAGGGACTATGTCATGACTTGTTTTCCTTGGAATACTTTCTCACATATTCAATGCAGTTTTCATTGCAATCATACGTTACAGACTTGCTATGAACTATTTGATTTCATTTAATTTGAGTGTATTACAAATAATATTCAATTATAGTGGCAGTAGCACTAGTTTGACTACAAAGAAACTCCACAGGAAAACAACGTGACAGGACATATAAATTACAACTGTATCTTGCATTATCGGCAGCCTGCTGCCATAGCAACAAAATGGCCGCCAGGCAAAAAATGGACCCCTCACTGTTCTCAATAATGAATCTAATGATCATCGAATTGACTTAACATTATGGGGGGTTTTTGGATCTATTCTGTCTGTAAAAAACATTTTTTTACAGCAAAACGCAAGTGACGACAACAATGGCGATGACTCGCAGGTTTTTCAATTGTTCCTTTTTTTTAAAGTTGTAGAGTATGGAGTTTGACATGCATGTTTAAGTTACCGTACTTGAGGTTTGCAAAGGAGGTATGATTCAATATGGCACCATGAGCTAATGATGTTTCCTATTTCAAAACAACATGATACCTGCATTGTCTCGTACCTTCGTTTCTGTGATTACATGTAGACTGATTCGCACATCATCAAATTACTACCACCCTGTATTATATTTCTTGTTTGATTTGAGCTGTTGTCCATATCTTTTTTTTTAACTATAATTTGTTCATAATTTCAGAATATTGTATGCTGTATGGTAACTTGTGTATGTGAACTTGTGTATGTGTCAATAATTGCCCCTTGAAATATTTGAAAAAAAAATTGAAAAAATTACCTATAGATTTCAAGCTACTAATCTGTTGGTTCAAATTTTGCTAAATTTTGTGAAATCTGCTGTCATAGTTACCGGTACTATATATAAAATATAACCGTGTCTAAATGAAATCCACATGAACACTTAAAATTACAATATAATTCATTACATCACTGGCATAACCCATTTAATAATGTTGTGGCAAGCGAAATTTCCGGACATTGAAATCACTGCTGTCACTCCTGACTTTTTTGTCTTAGTTGCTAATTGCAAGTGCATGTGTGCAAACCAGTCTCTCAAACCTAATAATGCGTGTATGGAAGGCAGGGCAGACTGTACTCAGATTCTTTGCTGAGTGAACATAACCACTGTACCATTGCCCAGGTCCAACTTTTACAATATCTCTTTATGTCACATTTCCCAGTTTTGAAAAACAATACATCGTGATATATACATGCATTACCTTTCAAAAAAGGAATCATTTTTTTCTTGTTGTATTTATGAGAGTGTGTGGTATTCAGACTTAGATGAATGCATATGTACCGTAACATGCTATAACTTGGGATTTGGCTTAGTCTTTCTGTGCCTAATAGTATCATTTTTCTAGATACTTGGCAATTAATTTGTTTAGCCACTTTGCAAATGGGGAGATATCATTATTATATCAAATGGAAAGTTATGTTATTTAGAATGCTACCCTAGGTTAAAGACTTGTTTAATTTGGTTAAAGACTTGTTTAATTTTTTTTTCTTTGTGGGATCACTTTCTCAGGATAATTCTTTGTTTAATTCCTCATGGGATGGTGAAAGTTGCATTATTTATTGTAGCCAATTCACCATTACCGACTGATGAAACATTAGTGAAAACATTGATACCATCTATGTCCCATTATTGTCTTTGGAACTAACTATGCTACGGAACTCTCTTTTTTTTTAAAGGTTGGTGACAAAACGGGAGAAGTTACTGCTCAGATGAATCTCACCGATCTACGATCAATTCTAGGAATTCAAGAGTTGAATAAAACAGAAAGGTATCAGAGTACTGTAAACTGCTTTAATTTCACAATGTAAAATTTTAACTCATTTCGCGAGTCAGTGAAAAATGAAAAATTTATGTAGCAGTGTAATTTTTCTGGAATCGTAAATATAGTCTCAATTGATGCCAAATGAATTTGAACAACGTCAAACTTATTTTCATCATGAATGGAGACAATCTGTAAAAGAAATCAACTATTTCTTTAAAACAACATGTGCTGTTCTTTGAGACCAAAACAATTTATTTTTATTTTTTTCTGCTCAAATAGAAATGTTTTATTTATTCACTTTCAGCTGTAATATAGTCACCTTTACACATCACCTGCTAAAATAAATTAAATCGTGTCACCAAGAATTTTGTAATACCGTAAATTCTGTATTAGAAGTCGCACCCATTTTTTTTGAACAATTGAGAACCAAAAATTCACCATTTCTCATATGTGTAGATGCTCTAATAGAAGCCGCATCCCCTCTGTTGCATTGTACCATTTTAATAGAAGCCGCGGTTTCTAATACAGATTTTACAGTACTGTGGAATACTTTATTTTTGCTGGAATTAATTTTCGCTGAAAAGGCTTTTTGGGCGTTTTGCTTGGAATTTATTTTCACTGATTTTTTCATGAGTTTAATGTGAAATATAGGAAAAAAAGTATATTCGCTGGATTTTATTTTCACGGAATCATCCCTTCAGCGAAAATAGCGAAAATAAAGTATTCTACAGTAGGAAAATCAAATAACAATTTCTATCTGTTTTGCAGAATTGATTTTATTAATTTCGTTTTTCATTTAATTCTATGAAAAATGGCACAGGAAAAAAAACTGTCCACATATAATACAAATTTGCATATGAACACATGAACTTGACTCTATATGTTTATGTTTCAGTGACCATAGTCTTAATTCAAAGTCAACTCCACAACAAAATAATCTGAAAGGTAAGCTCTTAATAAATATGTTTATCAATATTGCTAATCCACTTAACTAGTTGGTAAAATATTGCTAGTTAACATACCTAGTTATTAAAACTTTGTTGGTAGAACATTACTACTTAGTTTACATAATATTACCTTGTTGGTAAAATATTGCTAGTTAGCGTACCTGGTTAAACATTGTTGGTGTAACATTGCTGGTCAGCATACCCAATATATATAATTGGCAACACATTGCTAGTTAGCTTACCTAATATTACATTTCTGTACCTTGTTGGTAAAATATTGCTTGTTGGCTTACTTAAACATTGTTGGTTAGCTTACCTAATGTACATTATTGTTAGTATAGTACAACATTACTAGTTAGCTTAGCGTATCTGATATTGTTGGTATAACATTGCTATTACCCAATCATTATTGCTATATATTTGCTAGTTATCTTACGTAGTTAGTAATAGTTCAGTTCACTTATTTGCAATAAACTTGACTCTGTAACTAAATTATAGTGTTTCATCTGCTAAACTGTTTCCATCATGTGTTCTCATTAACTACATTTTCTATGTGTTATAACTAAGTTTTATTATATGATTGTATGAAGTGGTTTGTTCCTTTGTTTTTATTTTTACAATAAACGATGGCACCCATTCTCAGAGATGATGTGTGCTTGAATCACCTATGGCATTCTCTTTGTTCCTAGTTTCAACAAACATTCCTATTATCTGACCCCCATTTCAGACTTTTCTTAAAGGGGTACCTTCCAGTTAAGATTAATTTCACAACAAATTTACTTTCTGCATTAAAATAACAATGGATAACAAAAGATAGATTAACATTGTAAACAACATAAACAATAGTGTCCCATGATTCTTTGGTGCAATCCCTGGGATTGAGCGGTTCCCCTTTAACTGCATGTAACAAGGTTATACAAGCGTTTTACATGTTGAACCACCCTCTCATTTCAACCTACCTCCCCTATATACAAAATGAGTAAGCCATTGTAGTGGTTCACCACCAATTGACTATTGTTATGCAAATACATTCTATTGTTATCAAGTTATTTCTACTGATACTTGGCTTTTATACAAGGCAACCGCTTGGTCCACGTCTTTTTACAACAATAGTGGTTGTTTACTATGTGACTATGTCTTGAAACCGAAGCAACAGCAATCGGAACTGGATAATAGGTGTAATCGCACGTTGTTGTTAACCTGTTGTAATGAAGTTTAAATTATTATGTTTCAAAATGTTTGACATGGACTGTTAAAACCACTGTAGTTAGACTGAGACCTGTTTACCAAAGGTCGTAAGTAATACCAAGTCTAAATTGATATCGGTACATGCTTGGTTCGCTGTAATATTTTATGATTGATATGTTTCGTAAATACTCTAAAATTGTTTTATTGTTGTTAAAATCCACCATAGTTTATTATAAATTATGTGCATGTCGACTGTTAATATTTCTGAGCAAGTGACTGTTCCTGTGACCTTTCAACTTGTCAGCACCATGTGTTATTAATGGTGGCGAAAGGTGCTCGATGTTATTTCCCTCAGAAATCCTCTTTATGATCAGTGTCAGCTGGTCTTCAGTACGTCAGGACCGTCAGTTTAAATCCTAATCCCTGCAAGTGATCTGTTACAGATTAAATTGATTAGATCAGATCAGTTGCATTATTAGAAAATCGTTTTATTTTTCAATTGATCATAGCATTGTTGCATTTTTAAGTTGCTAAAACCGCTGTGTTTTATTGTTGATGTAAGTAGTTGATTATCATTTCATGTCGCATGTTAAATTTAGGTCAAGTTTGTAGTTTTAAATGGTCCTAAATAAGGTGCAGTTTTCTATGACTTGATTTATTTACTGGTACTATCGTTTCTCTAGGCTTCGTAGGTGAATAAATAACTGGCATCCCATAATCTTCAATTGAATATGTAGCTCTATTTCTGTTAATGGTTTGCATAAAATTAACCACCCCTGGTCAATTTACAAAATAAAGCAATGCAGTGGGATCATGGTTATAATCGAATCCAATCACCACGCTCACTCACTCAAGTTTTGTCACCCTCTCAAAAACAATCTTTACCTGAACGCAGATTGCTAATATTCAAAATCAATGACATTTATCGTAATTGCTCTATTAGAATTGAATAAATGCACATAAATCAAAAATTGTTTTTATTATATATTGAATCATTAAAATGTAATTTTTGCATAAATGCATGCACTACTTATACTGTATTAGCTTTATTGGAGGTGCACATGTTTATGTAAATACCACGTTAAATATGCCATAATATTATTATATTGGAAATGAGCTTGTAATAGAGGAAATATCGTATGTTATATAGTTTGCTTGTAATGCCAAAATTTGTGGATATGTTTTATTTTTCTTTGCATGTTATGTTTCATTGTATGAGCTTTGTAGTGCACGTTTTTCTTTTATTCCAGTGACCACAAATTACACTGCAGCTGTTCAGAAGAACAAGGCTGGCATGGGAAGTACACCATCAAATGGTGTTGCTATGACAACCAATAGTAAATCCAAACATTCTTCGTATACTGAAACATGTATGTGTATGTTCTGTACTATCCCAATTAAAACACATGGTACCTGCACACTTATATTAAACATTGCACATGGGTTACTTATTATGCTTTGTTTCTAAAAAAAGTTTTTGTTATGTCAACCAGTGCTCTCGTCATATTTGCAATGATTCCCTCTCTCTGGTTGTCCACCTGTTCTACCCTTTTTTTTAATGGTACCTTTCTGGAGGAATTCTTACAGTATCAATGATGTCCTCTCTCTGGTTGTCTACCTCCTCTACCCTTTTTTGAATGGTTCCTTCCTGGAGAAATTTTTATAGTAGCAATGATTCAATCAGTGGTTGTCTACTTGTTCTACCCTTTCTTGAATGGTAACTTCCTAGAGGAATTTTTATAGTAGCAGCGATTTCCTCTCTCTGGTTGTCTACCTGCTATACCCTTTTTTGAATGGTTCCTTCCTGGAGAAATTCTTATAGTCGCAATGATTCAATCAGTGGTTGTCTACCTGTTCTACCTTTTTTTGAATGGTACCTCTGGAGGAATTCTTATAGTCGCAATGATTCAATCAGTGGTTGTCTACCTGTTCTACCCTTTTTTGAATGGTTCCTTCCTGGAGAAATTCTTATAGTAGCAATGATTCCCTCTCTCTGGTTGTCTACCTGTTCTACCCTTTCTCGAATGGTACCTGCCTAGAGGAATAGTAATGATTCCCTCTCTCTGGTTGTCTACCTATTCTATCCTTTCTTGAATGGCACCTTCTTGGAGGAATTCTTATACTGTAGAATACTTTATTTTAATTTATTTTCGCTGAAAAGGCTCTTTGGGTGTTTAGTATGGAAATTATTTTCACTGATTTTTGATGAGTTGAATATGAAATTTAAGAAAAAAAGATATATTCGCTAGATTTTATTTTCACTGAATCATCCCTTAAGTGAAAATTTATTCCAAGTGAAAATAAAGTATTTTACAGTAATAGCAATGCTTCTATCTCTCGTAACCCTTCCACCTTTTCCTGAATGGCTGCTTCTGATATAAATTCCCAAAACAGACTCATCAGATGACGTTGCATTCTTGAATGAGTTAATTGCCATGGTAACCATTCTACGGTAACGGGTGTCAGGCTAATTTTGATATCCTCCAACTCATTGGTAAACTTTGACCGGAGTTGAGTTTCCTGTGTAGGTGATCAGAGTGCCTGAATTGTCAGTGTTTATTCTGTGTTAGAATTGACTGACTGGCAGCATTTTTTGTATTGTGTGTATGCATAATTTTGTAGAATTTCAACATGGCAATGATGCATCTGAATGTAAGTTGCAATTTATCTTTTTTTTTGCTGATGTTGCTGATTTCAAACAACCTACTGTGCTGAGTGTCTCAGTAGACACGTCTTGTCTTGTTTACAATCTTACTCCATTGTCTACATCGAAAATTTTCTTTCTTTTTTTTTCCCACTGCTCATTTTTGACACTCTGTTAAACATTGAATTTGTACTAATACAGTGTGGCATTTTACATTACAATGTGGTATTTTACATTACAATGTGGCATTTTACATTACAATGTGGCATTTTACATTACAATGTGGCATTTTACATTACAATGAGGCATTTTACATTACAGTGTGGCATTCCAACTACAGTGTGGCATTTTACATTACAATGTGGTATTTTACATTACAATATTACATTAAACAGTTATCATCTCTTAACTAAATCAATTTCAATTTGTTCTTAGTTTTCTGATAGTATTAAAACCTAATCATAAAGCAGGGCTTTATTAGCCGATTGGCTTTTTAATTTTAAACAGACAAATCTTAAATTTGTACTTAAACATTTCTAGTATTCATTCCATGCTTCTCAATTGGGGGTTCTTGAATTGATGGCCTAAGGAAGGACAGATTTTGAACGTTCCGAACGCTCAGAGTCGCAGGGCACTGAACACAACTGTTTTCAACTCACAACATCAAAGTACTCCTGAAATAAAACTGCCATCATCTTAAAACTAACTCATACTAGCTTTTGAAAATTTGCGCACTATTCTGTCTAAGCAAGAATAACGAGCATGCAAATTATCTTTGTCTTAGCGTAATATTTTCACATTTTTCCACAGTATTTTTGGGAGTTGAAAAACATGTACCATCTTTATTTCAGTCCAATTTCTCTGTACCCACCCACACTCATTTCGCTATAATTAAAAAACTGTTTAAAATATGCCGCTGACTTCTTCCGGGTTGCATGTCTACCAGTGCTCTTTTGGACTTTTCATATTTTTATCCTACCTTAATTTACGCATGTGCAAATAGAATTACATCACATCTAACAGTAATTTGGGAATCGGGAAATCCCTCATCAAACATTTCTTTCATTCTAAGATTTCTTAAAATGAAGAAAAGATGACAAGTTGTAATAATATTGGGGTACTTTTATGAACCAAAACACTTGTAATTGACAGCTGCAGCTGTGACCCTTGCATTGCCTGACTTTTCCACGTCAGAACTCAAATTGGTTTTAAAATGTGATTTGCAGAACACATACATGTATTTGTAATAACGTGTACAGTTGGATCATGGGTAACTTATTGGCTTGATTATACTCGTGTTGATGAACTCCTACCTGGGGTTGAACACTAAAACGAGGTCAAATACTTCCACTGCCGAGTGTGCCATGCAATCTCGATAAGGAGACTGTCCGAAATTCTTACACTAATGAATGCAACATTGGAATTACCTTGATTGAGGTCTGCAAGTAGTTTAGTTTGACCATTCCCCATTGACCCTAGGGGAGACATGGAAACCAGGTCACATGTGATCTTGACATTTACTGAAATTGATCTCTCTCTTTTTTTTGTTCATTTTTAGACAGCAGTCGTCCCAGAAGACACAGTATGGAACTTTTAGAATTGGTGCAAATGACACCAGAAAAGGTAAATTATTCTAATTTTTGTAAAATATCAAAATTGTTGAAAAATGAACGCTAGTATTTCTTGGCCTGTGGTAAGTACAAGTACGATCGTTTTTTTTCATTCCTGACTATGTTGATATGCCATCCATGTATAGACTTATAATGTTGACCCTTCCATAGCAATAACACTGATGCGTTATTGATATATTCAACATGTGTTTATTTAAAGGTTTTAACATTTTATTGCAGGTTTTCATTTTTGTAATTCAACGTGTAAGAACATCATGTGCTCCAGTGAAAGTTGTATGCAATGTTTTTACACAAGCAACAGTTGTTCAAAATGGAGTCAGTTGCCAAATGTGTTGCCCGTTTTCTTAAATAACAGTTTATATAATTGTATATTGATTATTACGTATACAGTAAATGCACATTTTGGTTCTTTTCTGCTTCTATCAGAAATGTGTACACTAATTTTCATTCTCTCTGCACGCTTGGAGTTGCTTAGTAGCATGGTCGTCATGGTTAAAAATGTGGCCCAATATTTGTTGTGGATTTTAGAGTTTTCATGAAAAATATGCAATCGCAAATTATAAAAGCCCAATTTTTAAAATGACAAAACAAATTAAAAAGCACATAAGAGCATTGATTTACAAACAAACTGACTAGAAACTTTTTATTTTATTTTGTGTTTCTAACCATTCATATGAAAGAGTAGAATCCTACCATTGATTATAATAATTAAAATATGCTGGACCACTATTAAATAACAACACATGTTTGTGAAGGCAATATCATGATTTGTTGCCTGCTCAAGTATTGGTGGTCATGACCGTGATATTGATGATGGCAGAGCTGATGTCAATGTCATGTGACTGAGTTTCAAACAATCACAGCATACGTAACAGTAGTGAGATATGATAAATATGGATAAAATATAAATGCGATATGATAAGGTATTTCAAATAAACTTTTCATTCAGTATTTGAAAGAAGTTATAATAATCTTTTCGAGTGCCAGCACTTTGTGGTTATTCGTGGATTCAAACTACATCCAGAGCTGGTCTATGTCTCTTGCTATATCAGTTTAAGTGTACATAACTAGTACACTGACTTTAATAGTATTTGTCTGCACTGAATCTCATGTGGTTCTCTGTAAAAGGTTGTTTGGTCAAGATGCCACCCTACTTTGGCATCTTGACTGGTGCTTATAATTCTTCTTTCTTTGAGGATCACATACTACATTGATATACTGTGTAGTGATTGGTCAATTGAACATTTAGATTCAAGTCTATTTTAGACATGAAATTTAGCATGTATATAATGCATATACATGTATATATGTAGTATATTGAATATTATTTATGAAACTTTTCTCCGATTATATCTCATCGATACTCGCGAAACTCTATAATCCATGACGTCATTAATTGTTGTTTCGCCATCTTGTTAGCGCTAGTTCGTATCATGCTATTGCACAGTGTCGGCTTGATAAATATATATATACATACATACATGAAATACTGACACATGTGCTTTTTAGAGGAGCGCGTATCAGATTTTTCTCACCAAGAAAGTATATGTTATTCTATGAAATGAAAGCTATAATATTATGAGAACAAGTTTGTGATTGGATGTAGTTCACCCACTGCAGACTTCTAATTTCTCTTTTGAGGCTACAGGTTTATCTGCATATTTTGATTTGTGCTATCCTATATTGTGGGCTTCCACAGATCTGTTTCATGAATGCACATAGCTTTATATCAGTTTATGATTTTGCTTCTTTGTGAAGCCAGTCACATTTAGTTATTTTCCAACTTCTGTATGCTATCAAAATGATAATCATTGATGTACCAACCTTTGCTGTGACGCAACTAATTGCGCTAATTCCCTGGCGTGTCATTGACCCAACAACAAATCTTACATTAATATAGTGATCTTAAAAAAAACATCTTACTATACAATGTAATTGTAGAATTTATAATTAATTTGTAACTCATAAAATGAAATTCATATTTTATAAACAAAGCAAGTGTAAAAACAAAGGAAATCTATGGGCCACATCATTTTGGTTTGTGCCTCAAGTTACTTAAAGGGGAACCGGTACTATATATAGGGGCAAGATGGCTACCGCAATTAGTATGCTAATCCGAACCAAGCCACTCGCATCGTGGCGGGAGCTCCGTGAAATGTGCCATTTACAATGTTTAGAGATCAAGCTGTGATTCCAAATACATTCCTACCGGGGCATGAATATGTACGCTAGCGATTACACTCATCTGGTTGGGCTTTTGATGACGTTGTTTTTGGTCGAAACGTGCACGACAAGTAAAAATCCTGAGTTTAAAATGGCGGCTAATGTATGCAAAATGCCTGTCAATCACAGTTTGAGTAAGCAAGCATAATAAGCATTCATTTACTTCGTAGACAGAGGCAGCTTTAATTACTGTAGAATACTTTATTTTTGCTTGGAATATATTTTCGCTATTTTCGCTGAAGGGATGATTCCGTGAAAATAAAATCCAGCGAATATACTTTTTTTCCTATATTTCACATTAGACTCATCAAAAATCAGTGAAAATAAATTCCATGCAAAACGCTCAAAAAGCGGTTCCCCTTTAATATAGTTGAATATAATTTTAATTTTTTTTTAAACTGAACTCTCCAGTAGTCAACAAGCTAACTCAACTTGAATTTGGAGATTCCATTTTGACTCAGAATCCCTACAAAATTAGTTGTTAGAACACACTGGCCAGCAGCCAGTCATAGTACTTATACTACTTGCTCATTGTTTTTGTTGCAACCGTTTATTCCAGAAGTACAAAACTTTATTCATTTTTTTTAATCTTGGATTTTAACGTTGTGATATGTTTTTACGAACTATGGCATTAAATAATTGTGAGCAGCACAAGTTTTATGAAAACGTATGAAGAATCCAAGCTGTGAACAAAACTGTATGTTTTCAAGGAAAATAGAATAAATCATATATGATAATTATTATTCACTAGATATTTATGTTTGTCATTTGTCTTGTTTTCTGCTTCTGACTGAAAGTTTTCATCTCCTATGAATGTTGCGACAGTGACATACTCAATGGAAAAAATGTCATGCTTTTCATCATCTCTCCGTAGTCTTGAATCAGAACAACAGACTTTTACAATTTCTGATTTGTATTTTTTCTTTTGATTTTGAAAAACAAAGGATAGCATAACATATTTGGTTTGTTTTGAAAGAAACTTAGCTACAACTGTTTCCTGAAGTTGGATCTCGTTGTCAACATAAGGCCTTGGTCATATTTGTTGTCCTATGTATGAACCCACAAGTATATTCAGATTTCACTCACTCTATCTTTCTTTTTTTTTTGACAAAAATGTATTTTTCTCTATTTTTTACTTTTGTGACATTTCATATTGCAAGGATGAAAAAATAAAATAAAATTATGGGGTCATCGTAATCAGTTTGGGGAAAATCCAAATTAAAGTGAAAATAGCATGTTTTGCTTAAGAACATTTTATTGTTTTTATAGTATTGGTCAATACCATATGGTTAAAAAAATATATTGTTTACAAGGTACTTGCTCATATCAAGAATTATTATACATCTGTCACCGTAACACCATAAGTTGTAGTCACGTGGTGTAATTTTGTGGTATTTTATAGGGTATTTTCATCCTACCATATGAGGAAATGCGAATTCCAAAAATGGAATGATTACGCGTGTAAGCGGCCTCTAATAATAAAAACAAACATGACTGCCACCAGGGTTTGACCGGACTCCACACAAGAAGTTTGTTGATTCTGTTCTAAACATTTTGGATTTCGGCTGCGCATCGGTCGATACTCCAGCTGTACTGTCTTCATGCATACTTTATAGTATTCTCGTAATAACCTCATAGTATTACAACAATTTTTGACAGTTCTTATTGAAAAAACACATTGACAATGAATAAAATAAGTCCACTAAATGCTGACTAATCTTAAGGTAGAGATGCAGGTTCGTAGGCACTTGAGAGTGAAATTTTTTTGCTTTTTATTATTCAAACAGTCTTGGCTATAGACTGTTAACATTTTGTAGAATTGTGAATAGAGGAACATACTCAAAAGACGATTTTAAAATATAGATAACAGGTGCAAACATTCTCTCTTTTGAATGCTCAGCAAGATTTAGCAAGGCTGTACATAACTAATAAAAAAGAGACATGGTGAAAAAGAGGAATGACGGGAACTCCATATTATGCACTATATTTAACTTTTAACAGAACGATAATACATTTAAATTTGGAACTGTTACAGCCATTTTAATTTATATGAGCATTAGCAAACTTCTTACTGAGTGAATTGTTATGCAAATTAGAAATTATCTCAGTTTTAGTGCACATCCTAGAACTTTTAAAGCTCCTAGACGCTTTGAAATTTTCATAAATGATTAATAATGTGTTTATCTTCAAAACACCGTTGGGCATTGTTTTTGGTTGAACAGTGTTACAACAATTGTACAGACAACTAGCCTGGATGTTAATTTATGCATAAACTTGAAGTAGTGAAATTTGGACTGCTGCCCTGCAAAATTGACAACTGGTAGACTGTTTTCAAGATGGCACTTTCTTCATAGTAAACAGATGTACCCATAAACCAATTTTGACAGGAAACAGCATTGTTTAGAACTATTTTTTTTAAATCACTTTTGACCAAAAAAGCACATTTTTGTGCATATTTCAAACTATAAACAAAAAATACTAACAAAATTTTAAAATTCATACAAAAAGCTTTCCGAAAATATATAGTTTTGTGGACAAGGGAGGTCATCTTGGTTTCCTAATTAACTAATTAAAATACCTGTCAGGTAAACTGCATCTCTACCTTAAAATGATTAGTTGTAAATAAATTTTAACTCCAAATATTGTCATCTGTGCATATGTCTGAAACACGCATGTAGTTTTCTACCTTAATAAGCTCACTCCCACGCCAACATGCAGATACATGTACATCACCTGCGCATGCGTCAGATGGCAATAGTATGTTATTATTTACAAACACTCTTCTACCCATTAGCTTTTGTGTTTTTAGTGTGTGTTATCATTGCTTGGGACTCAATTCCCGCGTCTGCGCAGGTGACAACCCTCCCACATTAATATGACGTTTGAGGGCAATATAACAAGGCTTAACATTGATGCTTCATTTTCATCCTCCAGTAGAAATTAGGAAAATAATTTATTTTAATTTTTAATTTATCATATTAGCATAAATCATGATTGTTATGAAGCAACTTGTGCATTTAATTAATTTGCATGTTTTAGAATATTATTTTATTTTATTTTTTTTTTCATTTTCTTTGGCCATACAGTATGCAGCTTCGGGAGCCAGTAGTGCAAGCTCTAGTAATAGCGTTAGTAAAAACAAGAAAGTTAAACACAAAAGTGATAAGAAGGGCTCAAGGAAAGGATCAGCTGCTTCCACAGCAAGTAACTCGAGCAGTATAGCGTCTTCGGGGTCCTCTATTAAAGCAGAGCAAGTCAAGATACAGGTACCTCAACGGGTAAGTGGCAACGAGTGGCCTCCTGTGTTTGCGCGATATGATTTGTGTTTTGTACATAGTGCAGGGAGAGTTGTATAATTAGCAGTAATACTCCAGCAAAAATATAAATATTTAATATTAATTAATATTATTTTGCCGTCGTAATGCTATCATCGAATCCAAACTCGTTAAGTCCAAAATTTGTAGCGACCATCAGGCATAGTCTGAAACAGACGCTAGCTTTGTAAAATTTTGTACAAATTATTTCTGATAGCCAACATGGTAGTTTTAAGCGATCTATTCTATTGTTATGATCTGAAAAATAAATCGAAAAACTGAGTAAGTGTTTTTTTGAGACTTATTGAATTCAGCAAACTGTTGACAGTAACCATAGCTTACATTTTCACCACCAGACTTTCTCGCCCAAATTTCTGGAAATGAACCCTAATTTCGAGTCAATTTTAAGTTTTTACTCAAAAAATTTGGCTATTTTGTCCATAATTCTTAAGGAAAGTGCAGACTATAAATGGGACTATTTTGTGAATTTGTGATGAAAAGAGGGAACTGGTGGAGAAAAGGGTTAATGTGATCATAGCAAGTTCCAAAATTCATTGACATATTTTGCTCTCGTCCTATTGCTCATAATTGTGCATAATGTTTTCAATAACTTTTAACCAGTGTCAAGTTACCTAATTTATAGTTTTCATTTCCAGAAATCACTGCGCGTGTGCAGTTTGAAATGAAACAATTTTGAATAAATCACTCGCAGAACTTACTTCTGCTAGTAGCGACAATAGACACAATTTTAGAACCTGTATATTTTTACATAGTATTTCTAAGTTTCATTGAGAATTATTATATAATGAAATTAGCTGAAAAGATTTCATTTATTTTCAAAAGTGACATTGTTGCTTAGATGATGGTATGTGGAAGACTGACTTTGAAATGTTCCATCCAGATCAAATGGCACTCTCTCGGCCAATACCCCATCGTCACCTTGCCCAATATGTTCAATTTGTGGTATCTTCAATTCTCTGTTTTTAGCAAATATTCCCTTAAATCATATACATGTCAGCTAATAATGATGGAGTTAGGGGTATTGTGATGTTTAGGTGGTTTGTGCACCATCAATCTAATGGGGTAAAAAAGTTCATCACAATTTTTTGTTTTAAAAGTGTCACAGGGTATCAACTTTTCATTTTTTTTTTATTTTTCACTACAAAATATTTTGTAGAAAAAATGCCTAAAAAATACAAAATTGGATAGTTTTGGAATAAATTTTTAATAAATAAATCGTTTGTTTTTTTTCATAAAAATAGACAGTAATCATCAGAATAATTCATAACAACCATACTAGTAAGTATTGATTTCATAACTGCATATTATTTGTTTACCATATGTAACCAAATAAATTTATATGGTATGGTAACAATGGCAATTAATCCAAACATCAACATTCTCTCGGATATTTGACAAGTGATTTTTGCAAAAAGTAGTTTAATGTCTATACATTTTTATTCATGTTTATTGAGCAACAGCATAAAATAAAACCACAGTACAAATGCCGATGAAATCTACTTTAAAGGGAAGACACTCTACACCACAATGAATTTGTTTTCACAAGTGTAGTAATCAGTTGTTTCAACTGAACTTGGAACAAACTGTTATCCATGTTCTTGAATTTATATTGCTCCAAGTGTTTAGTTGTTTCACCTGGTGTTAACATTATAAACTATGTAACGTAAAATCTGTATTAGACGCCGCATCCCCAATATAAGTCTCACCCATTCCTTTTGAACAATTGAGAACCAAACATTTACTATTTTTCATATGTGTAGGTGTTCTAATAGAAGCCGCATCCCCTGTGTTGCATTGTACCATATTAATAGAATCCACAGCTTATAATACAGATTTTACAGTACTTGTCTTATTTGGTGCACACAAACATTTCTTTCTTTACCGCCATGCCCAGTGGTGGCTCTTTCAGAACAAATTGGTACACCTGTCTCCCTATTTTCTCAGAGAAATGCATTTATTTATGTCTGATATTAAAATCTGTGAAAATTGGGGTAAGGTGTGCTGCTTTTCCAGTGTATTATTTTATTTTGTACTTAGACTGTTCAATTGCCCTAGCATCTGATAGGTAGTCACATGATACAAAATGGCACTAAATTGTGAGTGTGCCTTGTGTCGTGCATTAAAGAGGGGAAAACGTTTGTTTACAAAGAGAGTGGGGAAAACTTTTGTTTACAAGGGGAGAGGGGAAAACTTGTTTACAAGGGGAGAGGGGAAAACTTGTTTACAAGGGGAGAGTGGAAAACCTGTTTACAAGGGGAGAAGGGAAAACTTTTGTTTACAAGGAGAGAGAGGAAAACTTGTTTACAAGGGGAGAGGAGAAAACTTGTTTACAAGGGGAGAGTGGAAAACCTGTTTACAAGGGGAGAAGGGAAAACTTTTGTTTACAAGGGGAGAGGGGAAAACTTGTTTACAAGGGGAGAAGGGAAAACTTGTTTACAAGGGGAGAAGGGAAAACTTGTTTACAAGGGGAGAGGAGAAAACTTTTGTTTACAGCGAGAGAAGGGAAAACTTTTGTTTACAAGGAGAGAGGAGAAAACTTGTTTACAAGGGGAGAGGGGAAATCTTGTTTACAAGGGGAGAAGGGAAAACTTTTGTTTACAAGGGGAGAGGGGAAAACTTTTGTTTACAAGGGGAGAGGGGAAAACTTTTGTTTACAAGGGGAGAGGGGAAAACTTTTGTTTACAAGGGGAGAGGGGAAAACTTTTGTTTACAAGGGGAGAGGGGAAAACTTGTTTACAAGGGGAGAGGGGAAAACTTTTGTTAACAAAGGAGAGGGGAAAACTTTTTGTTTACAAAGGAGAGGGGAAAACTTTTGTTTACAAAGGAGAGGGAAAACTTTTGTTTACAAAGGAGAGAGGGGAGACTTTTGTTTACAAAGGAGAGGGGAGACTTTGGTTTACAAAGGAGAGGGGAAAACTTGGTTTACAAGGAGAGAGGGGAAAACTTGGTTTACAAGGAGAGAGGGGAAAACTTGGTTTACAAGGAGAGAGGGGAAAACTTTTGTTTACAAGGGAGAGGGGAAAACTTTTGTTTACAAGGAGAGAGGGGAAAATTTTTGTTTACAAGGAGAGGGGAAAACTTTTGTTTGTTCCATAAGATGTTTACACAGAAATAAAATACATGTATATTGTTTAATTACAAAAACTTTGAGCTGTATGACGATCACCACTCTCTAGTCTATGGTTGAGCATGTACTGTGTAGGCTGTCTCAAGGTGACGTCATAGATCTTTGGCAACCAGCACACGAAAGTCTGATAACAAATGTCGCTCGGCAATCCGCAATAACACTTTCTGCTGTGACAACATTGTCTGCAACAGTGAACGAAGTCCTTATTTTATTTTCAGGTGCAAACAGTTCATGCCAGCCATTCACTGTGCGCATGTGTATGTTAACAAAATGTGAAAGAGTGCTTTTGCTCTCACTTTTCTTTTACTTTGAATCACATCTCTCATGAATGGAAGCATGCATCAACCAAAAATTTGCTTTTACTGTATACATGATTATTGGATTACGACATACTTTCATTATAGACTTGCCAAAGTCATTTACGTAAGCATAAGTGCTAATAATAGAACAAATATGCAAATCAAAGTGACAACAAACGATCTTAGAAAGGTGCATGTCTGCCAAATAAACACCATAGTAATCTGTGGTTGGCGATGCAATAATTAATAGTGTAGCTGATGAAGAGAGCCTCATCCCTACAGGTGTCTTCCCAGTGCTAGATGATGTTCTTGTTACAATGTATCATTCTTGGATTTGGTTGTTTCTTCCAGAAGCTTTCACCGGATATGATTGATGATGACGGCTTCTTTGATATACTCAGTCGTTTCCAAGGCAACAGAATGGACGACCAACGGTGCTCTTTTCACAAACTTGATGCAGGAAAACAAGAAGAAGGTGCTGAAGCAGGTCAGTCTATCCAAATTGTTATCACCATGGAAACACAAGAATGTGAGACAGGTTGTTAAATACTGATAATCTGGAAGCTGCTGTGATTAAACACACTCTCTGCATTTATCATATTAGGCGGGGGGACCAGTAGAAAATCTGTGGGGGGGGGAATTTGCACTTGAAAAAAAAACGTGAGAAAAATTTGCAGAGGATAAAACAAAAAAAATTACAGTAAATTTATCTTATTAAAAATAAAACAAGCGGTGGCAAAAATCTTTTCCTAATTTCCATCTCCTATGTTCTATAATTAAGGCCCTCTGTACTCTGTGTTAAACAATATATTTCAATGTTTTCCTTGAAGTTAAAATAATGGCAATCATTTATAGATACTGCCCTCTACAGTTCAAATATGTTTTTAACCGTTTATAAATTTGTGTGAGTATTAAAGAAAAAAGACCTGTTTGATAGTGTGTAAAGACTGCCCTCATAAGGTGAGAAATGTTTAATTCAATTCATCTCCCAATAGAAAAATTACAATAACTCCTTGTATGATTCTTGTTAGATCATTTTTGCTCCATAACTTTTTGTAGTTTTATTATTCGGGTTTTTGGGTATTTGGACTCCTTGTTTAAAATGCCCAAGTGAAAAATGCATTATTATAATACTGCATTGACACCCCTCTCAGTTTCAGGCAATAACCTGAACAAAAGTACCGGAAGTTAGCACTGTACGAGACTTGTAAATTGATCGTCGTGATTTCCATGTCTGCTTTTTTGTGCTCTGCTGTAGAAAATCACTGGTTGTCCTTAAATATTTTTGTCAGCATTTTTTTTTTATTTTATCTTTAATTTTAATTCATTTTTAATCTTTAATTTTTGATGAATATTTTTGTCATTTTTGACTTATTGTTGTATCATTGGATGTGTGTTCTCACTGATTAATATAATTTAATAAATATATAAAGGCTGATAATTTGGTCATTTACTAGCACCCGCCACTACCACCACAGTTGTTTTGCTGCTTCATAATTAGTATGCGATGTATAAAAAACAAGTGAAATATTGTCACGATATTCAAACATTTTCTGCACAATGATGGTAATGTTTTAATCTAGCTGGCAATTCACTCATTGGATTAAAGGGGAACTAAATAGAGCCTATTTTGGTGTTTGTATTTATCAAGTTATGTATATTGATTATAAATTTGAAAAAAAAAATTAAAAAAATGATTATCTTCAGAGTTATGATGATTTAAATATGAGAAACCATAAACCTGCGAAGGACTTCCG